CGCTTGTTGGCGAAGTGGTATTAGAAACAACAACAACAACAATCCTTTATAGAGAGTAGAGGAATTATGGCACCTAAATAATATTTTGTTTTCATCTCTGGAGACTATTTTGCTTGGTGTAACAAATTTTATAAATACTAAGTATGATTACAATAAATATTTATAGTCTCCACGTGGAAGATATATTTTGGGTTTTGCAATTATCTAGAAACAGTTTTTTATCTAGAAATTATCTATAAACGTAGCAATTTTTTGGTTCATTAATTTTTTATTTGGTCTACTCATCATGAATCTCAGTTTTTTTTTCCACTGATTTTTGTTTAGGTGACATTACATTAAATCTTAAGAAATTACAAATTGAAAGTTCACACTTGATATTATTTTTAGAACAAAACAAATCTCAAAATAAAAATATGATGATGACACGAAAGGTAACGAATATTTTTCAAACAAATACTCTAACAAAAATACAAGTTCTAGATCAAATGTCAGTGCTGAAGAAGTGATGATTGCATTACATCTATTTTATTTCCTGACCCCAATTTCGTACTTCAAAAAATGTCAGTTTTGTACTACGTCAAGCAAGCATCAAAGGTGTATTGAATATCTTCTAGTTACCTCTTCTGTATGCTTTAAATTAGAATAAATTGATTTAGAATAATTTGATTTAGAATAATTTGATTCAGAATAAATTATGCAACGCTTATCCCTTAAACGGCTAATCGCAACAGTAATTTGATAATTCATATACATTATAAGACATTTGTAATTTTTTTTTAAATTACCACCCTGCTAATAACATGTAGGACCACCTTTAGCCCTCAAAACTGCTAGCTCCCGCCGTGGCATTGATTCCACAAGGAGCTGATAGGTAGTCTGAGGTATTTGGTTCCAAGCGCTCACCAACTGGTCTTGCAATTCCTTCACATTGCGAGGGGGTAGCGTGACAGCACGAATTTGGTTTTCCAAGTAGGACCAAAAATGCTCTATTGGGTTAAGGTCAGGGGAATTTGGGGGCTAAGACATGACTTGAGAGTCACTGGAATGTTCCTCGACGATTCGACCCTTATGACATCGTGCATTATCCTGTTGGTAAACACCATCCCCCGCAGGAAAAAATGTTGCCATGAATGGGTGAACCTAGTCTGCAACTATGTTCAATTAGCTTATAGACGTCAGGGCTTGTTCTAGGAGGATTATGGGTCCTAATGTGCCCCATGAAAACATTGTTCCTGGGCGAGAAGCCATGAAAACCTGAGCGAGCCCATTGTTATAGAGGGAGGGTGGTCATAATGTAATGCTCTTCGGCGTATATTGTATTAGCATTATTGTTATTGTATTTAATATAGTAGAATAAAATTATAAAATAACTGAATTTAGATATTTTATCGCAATATAAATTTGATATAGCAATATATATTTAGATATAGTAACATAATATTTGAATTTATCCTATGGTATTTGCCCACAGGAGTGAAAACCTGTGGATAACTTCTTTCATTCGTCGAAACTAAACGGATATTTCCTATGCGAAATGATGACTTATGAAGATATGACATTTTATTCTTTTCGATTTTCGACATTTTTAATATTTCATTTATAATTCGTATATAATAATGAATAGATCTTACAGTTGAACTTCAAAATTTCATATTTTATTTTATAAACGCCGTTGAATTGCCGACCCAATTTCAGTTTTAATAAATTCCTGTTGAAGAAGAATTTAAATGACTAGTATTTTATTTAAAAACGCTGAACTCACAGGCAATTTAAATGGAAAATATTAATTGCAAATAACATACTGTAAATACGCAGTACTTTAAAAATAAGAACAATGAAATATATTAACTTACCAAAAAGTAAAATAGTGTCTTCTTCAGAAATACTACTTCTAATAAGATTATCTTTTAATTCTCCTTTACTCAAAATATTTAAACACATAATCGCAAGTAAAAATTAAACATCCAACAAAACGTAAAGACGAAGAGAGAACGGCGTCTGTTTCTGTTTGGAGACTATCAGAAATTTTAATATTTTGTCGTACATACCTCAATTAAAATAAAAAAATTTTATAAAAGAAAGCATAAAATTTTAATTTACACAAGTTGTTCCGTCATAACGTCATAGCAACCGAAAATCCACATCGTTTTCTTCTTTTAATATATCGAGACAAATTCTAGCTTATAGCTCGCACACAACTAATTATGGAATCTCTTCTTATCAGTTTATGTTGCCACTCACAAAATCATGCTTGAGCGAGAAAAAAAAACTTAATAAGTATCGCTTGAATATTAAATATCTGCAGCTCAAGTTCGATTTAACGCACAGCAAATATTTGACTCGAACAGATATTATGTATTCAACTCAAGTTGAGTTCAAAAACTTCACTCTTTTTTGGGAAGGGGAATTAATTCATTCATTTTAAGAGTGAGTAAATATCTATTTTACGTGTGCAATTTTGTTGAACGAGAAACACTTGTACCTATCGTGATAACTTGTGTGTATGTTAGCTGACATCCGTGAGACATGCTGTATGTAGGAGTACCGTATTTAGCCAGCGACAGCGTGATACCTTTTCATGACCGGTTCCAGGGGTGATTATGAGCCCAAGTCAAAATTACGGAAAATTTCTTGAGTTAAAAAAAAAAAAAAACAGTTTAAAATGAAAAATTGGAAAAAAATTTAAACAAGGTTTTTTTCCTTTTTCTCAATATTTCTTAGTTTACTTAAAATATGTTTAAAATTTTACACATACCTATACCATTTACAAATACCTATGATGACCTGGAGAAGTAATTAAAATTTACAAATATGTCTTTCCTTCTTGAATTTATGATTATAACAACTATTTACCGATAAAAAATGAATATTAATCATGAATATAAGCTTATACAGTATCTCTATGGCTCTCCCTTACAAACAAATAAATTAAACTGTGTTTTTAAGTTCCACCTTTGAAAATTTGATTTCCGGAAACTTCTGTGATGAATGATTTTTTGAAACGTCTGGATCTTCGATCTCCGGAAACTTCCGGATCACTGCTAGCGAAAATTCCGGAAATCCGGAGCACAATCAGCCCTGCGGTTCAATCTACTTTTAACACGTTGAGCGCCACGCTAATTTTACATGACTTGCCCTTCTGGCCACGGTAAATAACTACAAACTAAATTTGAAAACATTAGATGGATTTTGCTATCTTTTTTTGATGGTTTATCATAACATATCCATACCTGCCAACTGTCACTCTTTCCGAGAATGGATTTTTAGAGTGGTAGTAAAACAATAAACGAAAAACTATCTGACTCAATAATATATTTATATTATGGTCCCTTTGAAATTCGCTTGTGCAAGGATTGTTATGCTTTTATATATTTATTATAATTATTTATATGAAGTGGTGATCAAACTCATTTATAATTATCATTATAATTCAAAAAGTTAATTGGAATAACCTGAGTATTGCTACCACTTTAATTATGAAAATAAAATCTTGCGGAAAATCCGGAAGAGTTGGCAGGTATGCATTTCTGATAAAAGTGGTGAATTATACAAGCCTACGAATTGTTTAAAAATAGTGGTGGATAAAAATCTACTAAATTGAATTTATTAAACCAAGAATCACAATAATTAAGTAAATTTTGAATAAATTTTCAGCAATTCCATAAAAGAGTGTAAATTTCATAGTTATATATCATGTTATATGCTGTCAGCCAGCTGTTTTTTGCTGCCTATGTGAAAGGTCAGTGTCAGCAAGCGGTGGCAGACGCAGCCTAAATGTAATTTCAGTGTCAGCGACCGGTGGTTGACGCGGCGCTCAACTTGTTAATTGCCACTGCCTAACATTCAAATGACCTGTATTAGGTCAATACACAAACCTCATAAACGTAACACAGGAGCTCAGCCATCTTCTCGATTGTGTTCAAAATTTCAAGGCTACAGAGTTAAACATTGATAGTCGTAAATTCTCACGCCGGTTATTAAGCAAAATATAAAAAAAATTAAATTTTAAATGCGCTTAATATGCTTTGTAAGTCTATTTCTATATCATTTATAATGCTTGCAACATCTCCAAATATAATGTTTTGTAACACTTAGACACTTAGATTACAAAGTACGACCATGGATTACATAGCTTACCAACATGCAGACGTGCCAACTTTTAATCCCTTCCATTATCATTTTTCCCAGTGGTATTAAAATGGAATTACAACTTCAATTTTAAGCAAACAAATACGTTGTATTTGAAAATAAATAAATTTAATAACCATGATAGTAACGCATATTAATATATAAGCTTAATTTTTGTAAGACTAGTGGTGATCAAAATCATTTAAAAATTAAATTTATAAAAGAAAAAATAGTATATATTTACTACCACTTTAAATATGAAAATAAAATCTCCCGCAAAGTGCGGGAGAGTTGGCAGGTATGAACATGCAATGTGCATACTTCTTTGCATAGTGCACCGTCCAGTGACATCACTGCAGGGCGTGGTAATTAATAGTTTTGAGAAATAGCAATTAATAGTCTTGCAGTTAATATTTTAATTAAAATTGCAAAAGCAATCAAGTCTGTGAGTAAACAACATTAAAAAAAAATATATATTTTTTTATATCTATTACATTGTTTAATTCAAAAAGAACTGTATTTTTCTTACTTATTCAACTAAACATTATGTAGGATTTAAAGTTAAAATAAAAACAGCTTCTTGATAATTCTTCGTGAGAATTATTTTAAGTCGAGTTCTTTTTTACATAAACAAGAAATCAAAGGTCACAACTAGCGATATAAAGCTTTCTTCGCTCAACTTTAAACGTCTGATTTTAAGTAATAAGTACTCGTTTTACGTATGCATATTAAAATATTGATAATTATAAATACCTAAATGTAAACTATTGTACTAACGTTTAGAATTTTATCAAAAATACTTTTTTTTCGAATCTTTACCCTCTCAAGAATAAAATGTTAGTGTAATATATTTTTATTCATTTATTTTTTTAAAGATTGTGGGTAATGATAAAATTAAGATTCAAAATGCGATAGATATTTCGTACTTATTTACAATGAATAACGAAAAAAATAGCTTATTATAATTTTTTCTAGATAAACTTATTGATTGACTGCTTTTAAAGTCTATATTCAAATTCAAGGGCGTTATAAGAATATTCTATCTGAAGTAAAAGTACAATGACACGTATACTATATGTTTCTGCTTATAAAGGGAAATTATAATTGAAGGCTGTTTCATTTTAGAATGTAAACTATCTGCACTACATTTTAAGTTTTAGTAGCCATTTTTGAATTAATATCATATGAGTAACTTCTAAACAGAAAGCAAAGGTATCATGCAGTTAATGATTTGGATAACCATATTTTGGTGTATCATATCCTCTCTGGGTAAGTGTTTTATTTATTATACATATTTTCTCTTTGTGTTAATAAGCTGAGTGAGTGCCACGTCAGTTATCGATGATCGACACTGAAATTTCCGTTTACACCGCGTCAGTCACTGGTGACTGACACTGTAAAATATGGTTAAAAAAAACTAAAACATTCACATTTGTTTTAAGTATTTAATGAAAATTTACTTAGTTTTTATTTATTACTAATCAAAGTTTTATTTATTTCAATCTGATGATTGTGTTCTTCGCATTGAGATACCACAATCCGAGAGCGCTTCTAAGCAGCGAGTGGCACTGAGAGTGTTCAGCATTAAAAATAAAATATAAGATAGAGTAATGACTTTAAAATTAATAGCATAAGATTTTATTTGGTTTTTATTTATTTATTTGGATCCTTTTTAATGTGTCCAATATTAGTTTATTGTCTATCTTCGCAATAGAACTACGTTCACGGGCTATTGACAAGAGTCTTAATCTAAAGTGACTCTATTTTACTCAAAATGAGATTGATATTTCCAATTCGTAATGTAAGGACAATGGAGTTAAGTTTGAAGGCAGCAATTTTTGTTCTGTTTTACCAAACTTACTTTATTAAATTATAATCCCACATTAATTTAAATATTTAGTTTATTTATATATGGTGGTGGAAAAACCATTTTAAATTTGATTCAGTATTCCAAATATTTTTTGTTTTTTATTTTTTATTTTGTACATTTAACGTTGCTTTTACTGTTACTGGTTTCATGGGAGAAAGCCCTTATATAGCAAGACGGAATAGAGAAAAACCTGGTACGTAAAACATTTCATTCCAGCATTTTTTTCGAAAAAAATGAAATATCTGTAACTATCAAGATTTCTTTTATAATTCTGGCATATATATAAAACTGCTTCTTTTCCAAGATAAAGTAGATATTGTTGAAAAATTTAAAAAAAGAATAAGTAAACTCCTCCCCAAAACTAGCTATAACTGAAATGGTTTTACTACCAGCCTTTCCTCTTTTCCGTCTCGCTTTCACCCCTGACTGGTTTACGTCGCACAAGAGCTGCTTGCACTAGAGCCTCTGAATTAGACAGGCCGACTTATCATTTATTGTTGGAGCAAAGAGCTAACATAAGCACAGCGAATAAATTTTTTCAAGTGGTAGTTTATTAATTGTAATTCTTGGTTTCATAAGTTCGATTTAGTAGATTTTAATCCACCACTATTTCTAAACAAAGCATTGGCTTATATAATTCACCACTTTATAGTACTTATTACATGCCTTACATTTTTAAATGCAAGCAAATGTTGTCAACTATTTGCAAAATTTACTTTGTAGTTATTTACCGTTTTTTAAATTTTTTCGGCGTGTCCGCAGCAGTTGGCGTCTCTGTAATAACATAACGAATACTAAAATAACGTTAACTTGCGAACTCGTTTGCTCCAATATTGCTTGATAGTGCAGCTCTGATAGTATAGGAGCCTTAGCTTGCACTTACAATGGCGACGGTCTGGGAAACATCGCTGTGGAGGATCCGAAGACACATCATCATAATCTTATTCCTCTGCAAAGGGGATGTCTCCCCTACTTTGGTAGCCCGACAACCGTTGCGCGAATTCGAGCACTTCACTGTAGAACAGTTTAACGAGAACTGATACCGGACATCCTCGATCCCTATTTAGGCTGATCAAAGTTTTCAACCACCCGCACACTGACCCTCAGCAAGTGATGCTTGATGTTTCCGACTGGGAACCGTGCTACTACGGGACTCAGTTATCGTTGCTATGGAACTACTCTCACGGACAATTGACAACCGTCTTAAATGGCACTATTTTATTCTAAACAAGAGATTTATATTTCCAATTCGTAATGAATTGACAATTGAATTACATTCGAAGGCAGGAATATCCTTTTTGTTTTGCAAAACTTAATTACTGTTATATACCTAAATTAATAACTATTATCATACATTTGTGTAGATGTTTCATTCACTTTTACGTAACTGTGAATAAAACCATTTAAATTTGATTCAAAAACCTTAATATTAGCAAGAAAAAGCTTAAATTTTGCAAGTAACAGAAATATAAATTTAAAATTTAACAGAAAATCCGTAAAAATTGAAATTTTGATTATAAACTGTGACGATATCAAAATAATGAAAGTCTGGTTTAAGAAAGTACAACATAAAATAATATACAACATAAAATAATATACAACATAAAATAAGAAATTACTAGCTTCCATTTTTTTCTCGCAACTTCGGATTATTCTTTGTGATGGTTGCAATATTAGAATTAATTTTACAGTAAGTAGTCATTTTAACTTTGCGAACACATTATATTTATTAGATACCCCAATAATTGTTACTTTGATTTTAGATATTTTAAAAACAAAGGCTCAAGAATGTCCAGCTGATAGAGATAAGCCATGGTCTTATGACCCCAACTTCCCAAATGGTGAGAAACTTTTTTATTTAAATTGTGACATAATTACTTTCCTACTACGTAATCCTGCTGCAATTTGTTTCATTTTGATATTTTAAAAAAACCTTTCAGCATTTGAAACTTAATAGTTTATTCTTGATTCACCTTAATTTATCAATGCACTAAGGTTTAAGTTACTAACATAAGTAAAACAGAATTTGCCATGATGCGTTTCTCTTGCTGTATGACATCTTTTTTACCCTTTCCGTTGCAATGTAGCCAGGTTGGCAATACTAATTCAACAATTGTTACAAACTATTGGAGATGTAAAACTAATTTCTTACATACGTTTAACACCCACTATTCTATAAACAGCAAAGAGCTAAAGTCTGTCACTTTCCTAAGAACGTAGGGTTTAAGGTTCCACTTGTTAATGTCGTGCCTGACTAAAATTTTTAATCGATTTTAGATGTTCTTAACAGGGTTTAAAAATGCATGCATGTAGTATTAGAAACTATTGATAATGTGAAACAACTGAATGTGTGGAATGGACTTGATTAAAGATTAGTAGTTAGTAATAAAATTGGTGTAAGAGATTGCAAGTAGTGCAAAAATTCATTGTAAATAAAGAAAATGATTAATGAGTTATTTTTCTAATTTCGTGTATTTTTCATAGTATTATGAGTAACAATTTTAAGTTAAAATGTTTAATATCCAGATGGAACTGGGATAGCTGGGTTGGTAGGTGGACTCGTGTTCATGAGAAAGGGAGTTCAAATCTACCACGGCGAAGAATCCCTGTGTTTTAAATGAGGACTGGTGTAGGTTAAATCTGTTTGGGCCACAAAGTCCTCCAATTTCTCATAACAAATCAATATATCTGGGAGGGGCTGGGATTGAGTGGTTGGTAATGCACTGGACTCATGTCCAAGAAGACGTGGGTTCGATCCCCGGCGACCGAAGACTCCCCGTGTAGTAAAATGTTGACTGATGCACATTAAATCTGTCGAGTCTCAAAGTCCTCCATCTTCCCATAAATAATCATACTTCCGGGGAGCTGATCCAGGGGTTGCTTTGTCTTTTGGATTGGTTCATGGCCATAGATGGCGCCACTGAAAAACAAGCACCCACTGCCATAAAAATTCGCTTGGTTTCAAGCAGGCATGCTAATATTGGCAAGTAGCACACAACAACAATACTCGGGTACTTTTTGTGCTAAACCTATTGTATTCTTTAGATCTTTTAAATCTTAGCACTCCAAATTTTTTCGAAAGAAAAAATTGAAACTGAAAGAAAATTGAAAGAAAAAATTGTTTTTATAAATAAAAGAACTTCTCACAAATATCGTCAAAGCATGCGAGTTGACATTACATTTGAGGCAAACATTTATAAACAATCTAAGGCATTATCTTTCCATGGGTTTTATATCTTCATTCTGAAAATAATATTTTTTCCCGCTGAATTATAATAATCACCTTTTATTGCCAAACTCAGATATCATCTTACTCATTTATCTCGAAAATGATTTTATCTTGAAATAAATCTTTTTTTGAATGACACTAATTAAAAGTATATTTCGAAATGTCATCTAACATTTAACCATGAAAATGCAAATGAACTATTATTTTTTTTAAAGATAAATGCGTGATGAGACAACAAGATAATAAGTTCTCTCTCTCTCCGTCTCTCTCTCACTCCCTTTTGGAGGTCTGAATTCGAAGAATTTTAATCCGAAGCCCACCTGAGTCTAAGATGCAAATAGATATACTTAAAGCAAGAGTCCGCCCAAGATATGCGTTGGATAAAGGCCGAAAGTCGAGGTCTCGAAACTCGGCCTTTGTTGTTGTTAATTTACGTCGCACTAGAGCTGCACAATGGGCTATTGGCGACGGTCTGGGAAACATCCCGGAGGATGATCCGAAGACATGCCATCACAATTTTGATCCTCTGATGAGGGGATGGCTCCCCCGTTTCGGTAGCCCGACGACCTGCACTCGAAGTCGAGCACTTTACGATAGCACAGTTTAACGAGGACCAAATCCAAGTGGTCCCCCACCTGCACACTGACCGCAGCCAGTGATGCTTGACTTCGGTGATCTGCTGGGAACCGTGTCTTAACGATCAGTCCACTGCTGGACAACTCGGCCTTTGAAATCTAAACAAGGAAATTAGTCATTCAAACCTTTTTTATCACTAATCTCTAATACAAAAAGCGAAGGGAAAAATCTGGAAATGAACGTGAAAGTGAAATACCGAAGAAGAATTTTCAACAGAAACCATAAATTTTTTTTATTATCATCTATAACGTTCCCAATCAGAAGAAATGTTAGTATACCGTTGTAAATTTTTGAATGCATAGCATTGTCAAATCCGTAACCTTGCAATTTTGAACCCAATTCAGAAGACAAGGGAAATCATGGATCAAGTTTTGGAGAAAATTTGCCTGCACAGAGGACTTTTCAGGTGGAACTAACACGCATTTGCGTTATATGGAGAGAAAAACTACGAAAACCTCCCTCGGTAAACCTGATGGCAAGGGGACTTTGACTCATGATCCGTTTACCTCTAAGGATATTTTATGTCAGCAATGTGGTCGGTACGAAATGGGGGCAAAATTCGTATCAACCAACCATTCCTGGGATTCGCACCCGGGTCATTTCTGTTCAGTGCGTTGTGGAAAATGCTTAGCAAGCATAATGAAAAAGTCATCTTTTAACTAATCAGAAATTTTATTAAGCAACAAAAATCATAACTTAACTTAAACATCATAAAAGAAAAACAATCCTCTCCATAAGATGAGGTAACGAATTCAATTCATACAGTCATGAAAATCAAAAGAAACAAACTCCAAATCCAATCTTGATTTGTTATATATATACAAAATAACAGTTGCATAATAAGGGTACTTACTCACTCAAAATTAATACTATGCAAATTCTGTCTTTAAACTATTTTTAAATGATGGTTTTTCCAATGGTTTTTCGAACTCCTGATCTCTGACTCTTACTCGAACCTTGTTCATTGAAATTCATAGTCTGACAATTTCATTGGGAGGCGAGCGCTCCTTACCCTGAGTCACCATGATCCCTTACTGCATTATGAAAAATTGTCGTATTAAAGAACTAAAAAGAAAAATTACTAGAAAGTAGTAAAAAAATTATGAAAATATTAACCCTCCTGAAACCTTTTTTCAGTTAAAGAGTACGTTCAGCCCGTCGCATCATTACTCACTACAAATCCTTACACGGGCTTAAACCATAAAAATTTTAATTTATTCATAGCTTATGTTATAACGTTTAGAATACAGACGTAATGATTTTGCGTTTTAAAGCTTATTGAGTTATTTTTTAAAACCTTACGCATTTCTTTTAACCATTTTTAGCATTTTTTTAAAGCCTGAACTAAAAATTTATTAAAAAAAAAATTGTAATGCAGTTTCTTAAAGGAAGCTATCAGTATTTTGTTTGTAGTACGAAATTCAAATTCTTTCATGTCTCCATATAGATTCGTCATATGCCGGGTTGCGTTTAAGATGAAAATTCAAATGTTTTCAAATAATTTCACACGGAAAAATAACTTATAAAATTTACAATGCAAATAGTTATTAATTTGATCGATAAATCAACTTATGTGTTTAAAAATATTGCCTTACATCTATTCTATTTTGTTAAGTTTACAACATTTTAAAATATTAAATGTTTTTATTAAAATTCTCACTTTCATGCTTCAAATGTATGTAATTAGAGGCGTGCCTTCGTGTAATTAGAGGCGTTGAAATTATAGTTAATTTTTTACTATTAATTGATTTATCATTTATTAAGAGAAATTTAATTGCCTTAAAATTTCTTGTTTGTTGTGGTCGATTAGAGGATAATTATTTTAGTAGTAATATATTAAATAGAAAAATATTGACTACATAAGAAGTTCTTTAACCCTTTCTAAAGCCGTGGTAAGTATACTTACCACCAATTTTTAAGTCTATGGTGAACTTTTTTACCACTTTTAATTTTGGTTTCCATTTGTTAACAACTTCAGCTTTCTTGAAGTGCGCTTGAATAAAATTGGCAACCATTTGTTAGGTTAAGAAAACGTTTAAAAGTTGTAAACTGCATAATTCCTTTTGAAGTTTGTAGCATTTATAAAATTTATTTTATAAGTAAAGAAAAACAAAAGTCAATAAATAATATATGGTCGTGTTAAATATATTTACCACCAAAGAAATGTCATTTTTATAAACTAAATTATTTTTTTTACTTATATCAATTACTATTCTTATAACAATTTCAATTCCATAAGTACATTAATTTACCTTTGCTAGAAATAAATGACCCATTAAACGGTTAATAATTACTTATCCCTTATTTTATTAAGAATAATTAACTAAATATGATTAGTATAATTATGTGGCTATGCATTTATTTCACTAGGACCTTCTAATTGGAGTGCTAGATACCCTGATTGCAATGGCCAAAGCCAATCACCAATCAACATAGATACAAGCAAAACTTCAAAGGCAAAAGGTCGTCAGAACTTGAGGCTTAATGGCTACGAGACTCCTATTAACAATGTGGAGATTGAAAATAATGGACATACAAGTAAGATAATTATCGAAAAGACACAAGCAACGAATTATATAGTAGGGGCAGCCGTTGCACCTTGGGACAGTTTGAAAACAAATAGTTTTATTTTCACTTGGGTAAAGATTATGATAGAAATGTAAGCAATAACTTATTTCTTACCATTTAAAGAGTTTATTAACTATCATAAAGTTAAAAATATATTATTCTATTAGGAAGTAATAAATTACTTTTTACAACCTTGGACAGTATCCCAAGATACATCACCATGTTATACTTTGGGATGCAGGGTATTGTTCCCTGGCACTTAATGAAACAAATATAGCAAATAAACTTTAACACGTTAAATGTCATGGAGGTCACCGGTGACCGACACTGAGCTTGCTCGTAGCACCATGGGGGTCACCGGTGACCGACGAAGCCAAGATTATTAGAAACACATAATTCGAGTAAATTTTTAATTTTTTTTATGTTATTATCGTTACTAAAATGGTTTGAAGAAGTTAATGCAACATAGAGCACACAAAAGTATTTTTATTTTTATACACAGAGATTCCAACTTGTTTCCGACAGCGAATAAATATTTTCAAGTGGTAGTTTATTAATTGTGATTCTTGGTTTGATAAATTTAATTTAGTTGATTTTTATCCACCACTATTTCTAAACAATTCGTAGGTTTATACAATTCACCACACTTCTTTTATATACGTCATGAAAAATCTTATAAAAAAGTAGCAAAATCTGATATTTACAAATTTAGTTTGCAGTGATTTACCGTGATCAGACGGGCAAGCCATGTAAAATTAGCGTGACATTCAACGTGTTAATATACGTAAAATGCAAAACATTATGGAAAAAAGGCTTATTTATTTACCAGATTAGTTCAGAAACATGTCATATACATTGAAATTCACAGGGAACTTGTGTGATTGCTTCTGACGAACTGAAGGCCTTGTTTTTGAGGGTGTAGGAAATTTACATATTATTTCTTTTTCATCTATTTCATTTCTTATTTTTTTCTTTTCATTTCATTATTCCCGTTTTAACACGTTCACTCCGGGGAGACCCACCGGTGGGTCACGCTAGATTGTTTCATCTTGGCGGCGCCCCAAAGTAAAAACTGGTAACAAATAAATTTCATTTTTTAGTTTTTTCCGGGAATAATAAAAATCCATAACTACCAATTGTTTTAAACGGATGCAATTTTTTTATTGAATTGCTTCTTCGCTGAGATAAATTTCCTTACAGTGGATTGTTATTGTTGAGAATAGATTAACTCCTCCCGAATATTATCTAATATTGAAATAGTTCTTCTACCAGTATTTTCTCTTTTCCCGTACCAGTATTTTCACTTTTCCCGGCGTGAACGTGTTAAACAGCACAAGATTTCGTTCATTCCCGTTTTGACAATTTAGTCCCAAGGTCCATTGAAAAAGACAAAAACATAACTTGTAAAAGTGTTTGCGGTTAATAATTCAAATTAACTAACCATACTATTACATAGAATACAGTCAAGAGTTCAATACACTATCTAAATATTTAACGCTAATTAACAAGGACAAAGTGGAAAAAAGATGAAATAATAATTTACTTTTCTAAGAAAAGTTTTTCCTTTTATTCTCTAGTGCCCACAAAAATCATTTTAAAGTTGCTTAGCTGCTCTACATTAGTGGCTGAGGGAGCAATTATGTCAAATTAGTTTTGTTAGTCGTAGTCGCCAGTAGATGGTAGGGCTATGCTGTTCGTTCCACTGTGCAACGCTATTCCCTATATAATTCTATGCCACCTGATTCAATGCGTAAAGAAAATATTAAAATTGAGACTCCCATTTTCTAAATCGACCAAATTCTTCTTTCTATTAATATTATTATTACCAAAAGCAACATTTTAAGCTTATAGGTATATAGCGCTATAAATCATTGGAAAGATTGAAAACAATGGATATACAAGTAAGGTTATTTTCCAAAAGAACCAATCAATGAATTGTATCGTATTATAATTCTTTACCCATTAATTATATGAGTACAGAAAATTTATTTATGTAAATTATTAAATTTGATTAAGTTAAAAATTAAATAGAAAAGCATAAAATCTATTATAGATTTAGATACTCAAGAGAAAATTTCCGTTAGAATGTAAGTTAGCATGGCTGCTATCAGTAAATGAAAGGTTTTAAAGCCAAAATTAAGCTACATAGAAGCTTTAGTGTAGGAGTGGGATGAAATATTTAGGATAATTTCGTTTTTAAATGTTAGATATTGAAAGAGTTACTGATGTCATTGTATGAGTTTAAAAAGTTCAAAAAGTTTTTCAATATCATGATATTTCACTACATTACTATTTGAAATCATTTTATGAAGACAAAATAAAAAGTTTGTATGTTCAAACTAAATGTAATTTTCTCCCTTTTAGCAAATACTTCATAAATCTAGCTTAGCATGATTTGGATCAGCCAACTACTACGCTTTTTACAAAATATCTAGTAGAGTGGTGGGCACATAAAACTTAAAAACTTCAGAATATCTGCTTATAATTTAAAAGCCTTATCCCGCATTAACTGAAAATAAGAGGCATGCTACATGAACTCTTAGATCATTCACATGTGGTGGTAAGAAAAAAAAACTTTTAAACAAATTTTCAAAAGCTACCATTTGAAGAAATTTTCCCTAAAAGTATAGTCCGCAGTCCAGCATAAATTCAAGTAAAATGTTTTTATTTGTTACATAGTTTATTGTTAGTTATTGAGATTCTGCGAACTCTATATTTTATTTAAAAGGAGCATTTTGTCTTTTCTTTTGAGTTACTATCACGAGAAAAACTCTCACTGGAAATCTTAACCGGAGAAAAAAATAAAAACTGGCAGAAAAACTGTTTTATTTCTAACTTGTTTTGAAGAAGAGGAAAATATCTTGATTCTGATAACTTAAAAATTGAAATAAGAAAGAAACAGAACTTCTATCTAGAAAAAAGAGAATAGATGCTAGTAAAAGTATCATAATGTTATCTTTTTATTGTGTGATAAAAAAAATATTGTTTGTAAGCAATTGCACATAGAAAAAAATGCATTCCATATCTGGCATGCACATTTAATTAATTGTCAAAACTGTAAAGCATAAAATTTACTATATAATGCTGGTCATAGATATTTTATTTCTCCAGAAAACAAGTAAAAAAACAAATGCTTTTACTATCAGTTATTTTCCCTGTGGAAATCTTTCCCGTACCGGTAATTCAATATATCTATCTTATGTTCTTAATAAAATATGTAGCTGTGTGACTATTTAAATTTATAAAAATGTCTCTTTTACATTTTAGTCGCGATTACACCAAGAGATGGTACAAGACGATCACTGGATCTCGACAATGTTAATTATAGTTTAGAAAGCTTTCACTTTCATTGGGGTAACCTTTCAACTAAAGGCTCGGAGCATGAAATCAACGGACGCAAGTACGCAATGGAGGTAAGCGTATGAACTGACGAAAGGAAGTATAAAAGGTTACTTTTTGAAATTGTATTTGTTTTTATGAGCTTTGGACAAATTCTGGTGCTTTTCATCATCACAATATGCTTGTTACCTTTTTGGATGCCTTGCCCATTATGTTTGAACAATCAAACTCCTAAATTCTATTTTCTTAGTAACTACTATTGTACATTTTAAGATTTCGCTAAATTCTTTGAGGCCTTCTGGTGTTGCCATGGATTGCCACCAACCTTTTTGAATCCTCTTTTTCTTTTGATGAGAGGTCACGTGCTTGCACTTAGAGTCTATAGTATTCTCCGGATGCCCCACGACGGGGGCGGGACGGGGTTAAGCTTTGATATAAGAAATAAAAAAAATGGATGCATCGTTTGTGAAGAATTTTTTACAACTTATTTTAAATTAACTATCTATCGTAATTTGCCTCAGAAGTTGCAGGTAGTGCTGCTCTTAAACCCCCTTAACTTGTGCACTCGATTTAATTCGAGCTCGCTAAACTGGCTAAACTGTGCACACTCGAGATAATTCGAGGGGCGTTGTATTTTATGCTGCTATAATTTTTCACACTCGAATATAATCGAGAATTGAAAATAACAATGTGTTTTTTAACATAAAGTGTTTTTTTTTTACATTAAAAAAATTGATTTCTTGGCCGGTTTTTTTTCAAAAAATTTGTGTGCAAAGGGATTATTGTTACTCGGCGGACACCTGTCAACCAAAATCATATTACACGGATAACTTACATATGGAGCTTTACGAGAAAATTTTAAAAAACTTGTAGTAGTAAATTTTTTTTTTGTATATTTTTTAGACAGAGTGAATAACCATACTTACGACAGTTATAACAAACATCAATCAGTAGATCCTGGTAATCAGGAATGTTTTCCTTAAAATGATGCTAGAAATAAATTGTTTTATTATCAGTTATAAAATAATTTATTTTATTTTATAACCGTTGTTGAACAGCCGAACCAATATCTTGGGAACTAATTTCTTGGGTTTACGACTACTAATGTTCAATTCCTCAGCCTTGTAATTTTGTATCCTACCCAGAAGACAAGTGAACTCTACGATCAAGTATTGGGAGAAATTTGCTTTCATGAAGGACTTTTTGATATAGCTAACCGTCATTTGCGTTACATAGAGAAGAAAACCATGAAAACCTCTCCGGTTAGCCTGATGGCAAGTGGAATCTAACTCATGATCCATCTACCAATGAGGATATTTTACATCAACGAGCCGGGTGCGGGCCCGATGTGATTCGAACCCGGCTCACCTCATTGGAAGATGGGTTTTTATCCTGTGTTTTTATCCTGTCTTTTTATCCAACGTTTTATCCCCTGAGTCACCATGGCTAACTTTTCATTTATGTAATAATCCTAGACAAGAAATAACAGTTGGTGATAAGTTATTGCAAATATGGATAATTGCACTAAGAAGCAAGTTTTACACTTAGCACTTCGAGTACTATTAGAGCTATTGTGAGTACTAAATTAAAATACATAATGCAGTAATTTTATTGAACAGTTAACAATAAAAAATTTAAGTGGTTATTAAATATGAACAAAAGAATTAAATTTCAGAGTTGGTCGTAAAAAAATGCACTGGAATGCAAAAGGTTCAGAATTTTTACATACATCATAAATATTTGGAAATTTTGTATTTAAATTTGTTTTATTTCTCAAAAGGCTCACTTCGTACACAGAAACGATCAAGGTGAAATTGCCGTCGTTGGAGTTTTCTTTGAAGTAAGTTTTTCATAAAATATTAAATGTTTAACATAATTATTCTTCACAAATAACTGTCGCTTATTTTTGTATAAATTATTATCAACGGTTATGTAATGAGACAAATTACTACATTCAAATCACAAAACTTTTACTTTTGGCTCGCAAGCACTGTTTTCTGACAGCTGACTTGGATCAAGGAGTTATTAAATCAAAGACTATACAACCCTTTTGTCAAGGCAATCCGTTCCGCAGTACTGATCGTCTCCGAGTTTCAACACAGAATGAACCGGTATTTGGCATCAGTAACTGCCAAAAAGGGCGTATAGTATCCGATCTGTCTTGTCAGCTATTTGCAACCACGGGTAATTTCAAAGCAAACCTTCTACAGAAGTTTGGGAAATATTACTCTAGATGCTAGCAGGCATGTCAGATATGTTCTACTCACGGCAAATCAACAGCGATTAGTCTGGAATAGAAAACATATAAAATGGATATTATCATATTCTGTGATGTTTTCCGATGAGTCCAGGCTTAGCTTATACTCTGATTTACATCAAATTTTAATTTAGAGAACTCCAGATACCTGTTACCACCAAGATAACACCATTAACCCTTTGGGGACGGGTGATTCAGAAAAGCATTCATACAAAATCAGAATCAAGTTGTAATTAAATAAAAAACGGTAACTTAAATGTAGTCATTGCTAATTTGACAGACTTGCTTTGCATTTACTCTAATTATTGTTAGTTTAATCACATATATAATCAATGTTGATTCAAAGTATAACTAAATAGTTTTATTTTGAACAAAGTATTGGTGAATTAAATAAATCAAACAATTATAACTCCGCCCACAAATAAACTGCAAAAGAAATACTTTGATTACCAGTTTTATATTTTAATCCTGATTGATGCGGTTTTATGCTGTCACGTATTTGTGACAGTCGNTCACAAATACGTGACAGCATAAAACCGTATCAATCAGGTTAAAAATATAAAACTGGTAATCAAAGTATTTCTTTAGCAGTTTATTTGTGGGCGGAGTAATAATTGTTTGATTTATTTAATTCACCAATCCTTTGTTCAAAATAAAACTATTTAGTTATACTTTGAATTAACATTGATTATAAGTTTAAACTAACAATAATTAAATTAAAAGCAAGGTAAGTTTGTCAAATTAGCAACGACTACATTTAAGTTACCGTTTTTTATTTAATTACGACTTGATTCTGATTTTGTACGAATGCTTTTCTGAATCACCCGTCCCCAAAGGGTTAATAAATAGGCTTTATAAAGACGTCACTTTTGTTTTCGTTTTTTTTTAAATCTTTATTTGGTATTATCCTCAATTTATGAACATAAGTGTGTTTACATTTTACATTAGGAGAATTTATAAAAACAATATTTTGACCATTCCATGAAAAATCCCAGTGATAAATTATTACAGAATGTCTTCACGCGAGTGAATAAATATTCAGAACATTTAGAATACGGTATTCTGGAGCTGTTTATCAGTGAACTTCCTTAACCCTTTCGCGCCGACTGTCACAAATACGTGCCAGCATAAAACCGTGTCAATCAGGGTAAAAAGATAAAACTGGTAATCAAAGTATTTCTTTAGCAGTTCATTTGAGGGAGGAGTTATAATTGATTGATTTTTTTAATTCCCCATTACTTTGTTCAAAATAAAACTATTTAGTTGAATTAACATTGATTATATATATGATTAAACTAACAATAATTAAAGTAAAAGCAAAGTAAGTCTGTTAAATTAGCAACGACTACATTTAAGTTATCGTNTGGCTTTTAAGTCTGGTTTTATTTAATTGCAACTTGATTCTGATTTTGTACGAATGCTTTTCTGAATCACCCGTCCCCAAGGGGTTAATGCCTGTTACAAAATATTCAATCTTAAGATTCATAAGCTGTTTCTACATATATTTGTTTTATTTTAAATAATAAAAATATACGAAAATCATTTTTATTTAGGAGAACTATAGAAAAAATCCGACATTGGATACAATTTTGTCTGTGATGGATGAGTATCTATATGAAGACGAAACATTCGAAGGTACCATTACTCAATGGTGGCTGTTTCGGAGAAATATATATCTGGAAAATCTTGTAGATAATGGGTGTTCTTATTATCGCTACAACGGATCCTTGACTACACCACCCTGCTCAGAGAATGTCACATGGTTGGTTTGCAAACCAATTAAATATGTTAAAAGATCCCAAGTACGTATTTTCTTTTCATAATAGACAACAATTATCTTAACAAGAGCTCTCAAAGGAAAAATTCTACTTTTTTTACAATACTTCAGTGGCAATAAAATTTCGATAGAGTAAACAAATCTGTTAGGATTTTGTATGCAATTTTAAAATATCAGAGATTAAGTAACAAAAATTTTAATATAAAGCAAAGAATTTTAGCTAGTTTTTCAAAACATAATAGCTCTCTTAACGTAAAATAAAGTTATTTGCCAGCAGTTTAGAGCATCGCGATTTAATTAACAGGATTTTTATTTTACGTAAAAGACTGTGTGTATGTGAGACCAAATGGAGATTATAGTTCATTGCGTGTTGATGAGTAAGAGATATAGGACATTATGATGTTGCTTCATCACACGTGCATCAAAATTCTACTCCTTAATTGCTTCAACCTAGTTTCTGCATTTCTTGTACGAAATGTTAGATAAATTAAATCAACGTATTTTTCTCAGTTTTAGTACATTTAACCGCGATTTCATTTTAACATTTAAAGTCGATTGATTGATTTTTGTATCGATTCCTTTCTGCTTAACGGTGACCGAGAGGAGGTTTGCTCTTCTTCGCGAGCCTTCTTGACGTCAGTTGAGAAAACTACCTTGTGAGAGAACTACGTCTCTTTCGACTTTAAAAACTCTTTGGTGCTCACCTTCCTGTTGAATATCTCAGATTTCACCCTTTTTTTAAAGGTTCAATATGGTAATAAGAAAAACTAGACTCAGTGGCACGACTGTCCATAGAGGGCCTAGGCCTACTGTGCCCATCTCAGTTTTCTTGACCTTAGGCTTTGGGGTGAAGGAGCAAATGTTCCGGTTAGGTGGTCAGCAGAGCGCGTTACCCAAGCATGCTTGGTACTCATTTATCGACCCACTGAAGGGATGAAAGGCTGAGTCAACCTTGCCCGACCCGAGGATCGAACCCAGGATCTGTGGCACGGGAGCGCAAAGCGCTACCACTCAGCCACCGGGCGTCACAATATAGTAATACATTTAAATTAAAGTTTATCTTTTAAATTTTTAAATCACATTTTTATTTCAATTTCAAAGTTATCCGATTATGATGCGCAACATGGATGGCGACACGCGTGCCTGTCGCCAATAGTTGTTGAGTTTCCATAGTAACAGTCACCAAATAAGATGATTCTGATGTTTACATATTCCTGTAGTTTACAACTCGATTCTCGTTTTTCCTTTAAAAAGAGAAGCCTCGTATGATCCAAAAATTTGATCCAGAATTTGTGTCCCACCTGAACAAGTGAATGCCATCTGTAAGGGGAGTCATCCACATCCATGAACCAACCAATATGCAGGAAAATAATTAAAAGAATCTGAAATAGGAATTGTTTTTCTGTGATAACTGCATCTACCATAGCACCGACCAATGAACCTGGAGATCCTTCTGGAACAAGGGATCAGAGCAACCTTTTAGAACACCGTTTCCATTTGTATTTTATAATAGTAAATAGACGATCACAAGACAAAATGTTTCTTTATTTTCACAGTATGCTGCAATAGTTAAATTTCATTAATATTTTGATCTATCCTTTTATGAAATAATTCCTCTTACAAATTTTATTCACTTTTTAATTAAATTCCACATTTTAATTTTAATCTGCCTGAATAGTAACAATACAATAGACATTAATGTTCATTTTACCGAAAAAGTTATCAAAGAAATTCATGCTAAATGGGGGCGTTATGTTTTAGTTAAAGTAGTTGTATGTTTAATCACAAATAAACTCTTTCATATGAAATGTAGCAATTCTGGCTATAATAATTCAACAAATGTTACAAACCACAAAAAAAGTGAAACTAATTGCTTTTAAAGGTTTAGTAATCACTATACTTTAAACGACTAAGAGGTGAACTATGTAACTTCGGTTAGAATGAACTGCCAAATATTGTGTTTGCATGTGTCCTGTAAAGCTAAGTTTTGCAATAGAAATCCGAAAGGGTTAAAAAAAAAAGATATTTTCTTATGTCAGCTTTCACTTTAACACGTTGAATGTCATGGGGGTGACCGGCGAAGCCAAGGTTATTAGAAACACATAATTCGAGGAAACTTTTTAATATTTTTATATTATTAACGTTACTAAAATGGTATGAAGAAATTAATGCAATATAGAACACACATAAATAGTTTTACTTATATACACAGAGTTGCCAACTTGCTTCGGACAGCAAATACATTTTTTCGAGTGGTAATTTATTAATTGTGATTCTTGGTTTAATAAATTCAATTTATTAGATTTTTACCCACCACTATTTCTAAATAATTGTTGGCTTATATAATTCTCCACTTTGAATCAGATACATCATGCAAAACATTCCTAAATGTGAACAAAATTATTCCAATATTTGCGAATTTTAGTTATTTACCGTTTTTTTAATTTATTTTGGCGAGTTCGGAGCAGTTGGCATATCTGGATATATCATGAAAACCCTTTAAACAACTACCAGAATCTATCAAATTTGCAAATTGAGTTTGCAGTTATTAACCGTTTGATCAGACGGGCAAGCCATGTAATATTAGAGTGGCGTTCATCATGTTAATACGTTGCTTAAGAAAGGTACATTTTGTAGCTTTTATACTGAAGCGAGAAATGCGTACAGTGAGTGCAGACAGATAATGCCCTACAACAATAAATATTGAAATAATTGTGCCACAAGATTTTGTTTAGGAAAAACAAACTTGTTCTGAACTACGTTTTATGAAAAAACTTCTTTATTTATTTTTTAGATGAGACAGCTCTACTCATTGTATTCCGTAAGAAGGGGAACTGACAATGAAGATAAATGCCATCTTATCAACAACTATCGACCGATTCAACCATTAAATGGACGGAAAGTTTATGCATAATTCATAAACAGATGATAAAAACTTGAAAAATTACTATTTAATATACAATTTGTAATGCATTAAAAATGTGTCCATTATATAACTGAGAAAAATGAGATCCTTTTCTAACTTGTGTTTTTCAACTGTGTTTTTAACTTGAGAAGAACTTATAAGCATAGGCGTAGCGTGTGAGGGTGGGCACATTTTATTAGAAAACTTCATTTAGTTTAAGTTGTATGTACATGTTACAGTTATAGTGTATAATTCAGTTATTTCTTAGAATAACTAGGTATTTCATGAAATAACTAGACAAATCAGTTAAAGTATATAATAGATTTAAAAAAATGTCATTCTGTCTAGTTATTTTATGAAATAACTAATGATAGACCCTTCAAACTGAAAAATAAACAATCCCAAAGCTATTTTATAAATTAATGGATCATAAATAGCTAGAATCTCTTGAAAATACATTTCATTCCCAATTCGAATGTTTAATTGATAAACAATTAGGATAAACAAGTGATATAATTTATTATTGCTCATATTAATAACTACGTCTAAAAGCAACTTGATGAAGAGTTGTAAAACAGCTGTTCAAAACTGACTAAAAGCAGCTAGAACCGGTTCAAAACTGATTAAAAGCAGCTAGAACCGGTTCAAAGAACTTTCGAGTGCCGTATTTCCTACTTTTACGATCAAGTTATCATTATTCTATAGAATACCTAGTTAAGTCGTGGAATTTGATAATTTTATAAACTTTAACTGACTTGTCTATTTGTTTCATGATATACATAGTTTTTGTATAAAATAAAGGATATTGCACTTTAACGGTGACATACATGCAGATTTTTTTTATATGTATGCATATTTATGTATAAATGTATGTATAAAATTCAAGACAAGTTTTCTAAAAACAAAAAGTGCGCCACCTTATGCTACCCTTGTGCTTTGTAATGTCCTTATAACATGTACCAATTAATAAATTCTTTGGTTAACAGACTATATTTTTTATTTCTCTCTTTCTTAACTTAATACTGTCACATTCTTATTGAATCCAGTATTAGGGTTTCCAATTGGCTTAGAATAAGAGCATTAATACAGAGGAAAATAAAATGTGAGGACCATTTTATGTTATTTTGTAAAGAAAATACATAAAAATTAAAACTCTTTTTATCACATTTGTAGCTAAAAAACTTGTGTTACAGAATTTTTTTAAAGCAAATGCTAAGGTTTCAAGAGAATTGGGTGACGTAAGAGTAGTTTTGAAATCCAATAAAGGTTTCGCAATAAAAGGTGATACATTATAAAAGATACAAAGGAAAGAAATTTAAAGGGTGATAAGATGAATACTGAAGAATCATTTAAATTATAAAAAATTATGATTTTCGAAGAACATTCAAAGGTATAATAAGGTTGATATAAAGAAAATTAATTTATAATGAATTGGAGATTTTAAATTAATATTTTAAGTAAAAAAAGTAGGATGTGGGAGAAAGAATTAACTCCCTCTATACGAGCCGTATCTCCGCATCTCGGAGAAAGAAAGGAGAAGGTGCACCCCTTGGTGTAACAAGCAAGTAGGCTAGAGAAAGATCTTAAAAAATTTGGAAAATCAGATAAGAGAGATTGGTTTCGTAAGCCCCCTTAAAAAAATAAATAAAGAAAAAAAAAGCGGTAATAGAGGGGTAACTCCTCGCAGGAAGTGCAATGACCGCGTTGACCAGCGAGGAGGAGCGAACAGAAAGTTAATATACTTTTTGAAAAGAAAAGTGAAATTTTGTTAGGCAAGATGTTTAAAGAAAATTATATGTTTAAATTGAGAAAACAAAACCCTAATTTAAGACAATTATTTGGAAAATATCACATGAAATAAATTTAAACTGTAATATAAAATAAGGAAAGAAAGGTTTAAAAAATAATAAAAGACTAGGAGGCTTCGCCCCCTGCTCGCTGGCGTTCGCCAACCCCCGGAACTGCTTTCGCAGTTCATTTCGGATTGCTTCGCAATCCGATGCTCGCTTTGCTCGCTCATTGGATACGTTCTTAACGTCTAGCTTTTGTATACTTTTTTGAACACTGAAGTTCCGAAAACTTTTCACTGTAGAAAATTCTAAACCAGTGCATTTCAATATTAATTTGAAATTGCAAACAGTTCACATATTTTTCTTAATCACACTATTCTAAATTTCAGTTGTTGAGAAAAGTAACTGTTGTAAGTTTTGTTTTAAAGTCTTTCCCACCAGAGGGCTAAAACCATGTGTTGTAAAACAATATGAAATAGTACTGAACGCCGGATGTAAAGCATCGGCTTCGATGAAGATAATTTTGTGAGAATTTTTTTGATAATTCGGTGAGAATTCACC